AATACTGTCTTTATTATATATAAGTATATCACACTCTGTAACTTAAACCGTAACCGACACGTCTGAACACGACGGTGATCGAGGCTCTTGTGAGCACCACTGATGCCCGCACGCACGCGTGGCGCGCCGAGTCGCGCCGCCAACCGGGGGCTGCCCTCTAGAAGAGCGGGAACTTATTGCTCGTTCAAAGTCTTCTCCCAACACTCCCTCCCTTTGGGCGAGCGATCCACGGGTCCTCTCTAAGTTTCCTCTTTATCTGAAACATAACAAGAATTAGTTATCGACTAAAATTAATCTCTAACTTTGTCTAAACTCTATATTCATTATTTTATCTCTCAGATACACAAATGCTTCTAGAGGTAAAGGTTTTGTCATAATGTCTGCCAAATTCTCTTTGGTCTTTATCCATTCGACTTTTACCTTCCCTTAATCAACACACTGCTTGATAAAATCTCCATGAGTGTCATCCATATGTTTTCTGTTTTCAGTTTCTTCTTTTTCTTCTAAGTCGTCATCAAACATTTTAAGTTTGTGACTTCTATCCATCTTAGTGCAGTTTCTTGCTGCTCTGTTGTCATGACTCTATAAATTTTCTCGTGCTTGGATACCAGAGTATATAGTATATATTCAGTGTCAGTATATCCCACCAACACACCAATAGCTGTCTTGTCGAATTTCGACGTAGGCTTTGGTACTCTTGCATATCCAATGCATCCGAATTTCTTTATTGGTTCAAAATGACAACTTGTTTCTGATGAAAACTTCTTCAACGTTCTGTTGAACCTTTCTGCAACTTTATTGTGTTCTGGAGTGTACGGTGATGCAAATATGGTTTTTATCTTTTTTCTTTTTAATACCTCTTTAAAAGCACCTCCCGTAAATTCCTTGTCTTGATCTGACTTTGCATAGCATAGCTTTTCTTCTTTTCTTAGTAGATTTCTGGCGGATATAAGATATTTCTCTAGAGCCTCTCCCGATTCATCTTTTGTCTTCAGAGAGTAGGCTTTTGCTAATCTAGAATAGTCATCTATAAAAGTGATTATAAACCTCTTTTGTCCTGGATAGGATGTAGGTTTTATTGGACCTATGATGTCCGTATGTATTACCTGTAGTGGTCTCTGTGCTCTATTTCTGTTTTCTTTAAACGGCAGTTTTGCCATCTTTGCCATTATACATACTTCACACTCTAATATGGAGTTATCAAACTTTACATTCTCTAATCTCTTTTCTACTTTTTGTAATTGTTTTAGATAGTTTAACGATGCATGACCTAATCTGACATGCCATAACATCACCTCATTTATTTTTTCTAGTTTATTTACTTTTTCAATTACTGAGCTTTTACACATTTCTTCTATATTCTCTATTGTCTGTATATCCTCCAACTTAATGACTTGCTCGAGTTCAGCATTATTGTGTTCTATATTTTCGTTCACATTTGTGAGCTCTCCTTCATTCTCCCTCCCAATCGCAGAGCCAACATTATCCCTCTCATCTAACTCTCCCTCCGAAATTGATAATTCATTGGTCTGAATGTTTGCTTGCGATTGTTTAGGAAGCTCACTATGTGGAACAATTTCTGCTCTACATCTGTAAATTCCTTTAAAAACTATTTTATTTGTCAGTTTATTGTAAACTTTAAACACTTTATCATCTAAATAAATACTGAACCCTGCATCAGCCAACTTTCTTAGATATAGTAAATTTTTGGATACTTTCTTTGCTGCAATTACATTTGTTAATTTAATGACTCTCTTTTCTTTTTCATTCGTTATTAGCGTAAGATCTCCTTTACCATCTATTGAAATGTTTGCAAGCTCATTTTTATTCGCGCATTTAATAACTCTATCTTTACATTTTTCAAACTTTGACAGAATAAAATTCTTATTCACAATATGATCCGTAGCACCCGAATCTGCAGTAAAATTGACTACCTTTTTTGAACTATCTCTATCTTCTATTAATTTAACCATGTATTATTTACTTTCTTCTGATTCTCCTTCATTTGCTGTTTTCGTTGATATAGGTTTCTCAGCTGGTTGTATCTTGGTTATTTTCCCTTTGTTATCTACTCTTTTTGTGCCTTTTTGCACAAATCTACTCTTTTTCTTTATGTTTTTATTAACGGTTTTATTTAAATACCTTTTTCCTCTAGCTCTGTTCGCCTGGGCTTCGGCACTCGGACAATTATCACCCTTGTGACCTCGTACTTCCTGGCAGAAGTAACAAAACCAGGCACCAAATTCTATTAGTGGACAGTCCTTTGCCATATGACCCATTCGGTTGCATCTGTAGCATTTCACTTGTTTCATGTTCTCTTCTGCAGCAGCCCTCTGTACCCTGACTTCGGGTTTCTCTAACTTTCTTTATTCTCGTTTTTAGTCTCTGCTTCTAACTGCATCATAAAAGACTTTATTTCATCTATGTTCATTTCTTTAAGATTAGTTTGTCTTCTAATTAAATCTACATTCCTCAGCTCTGGTACATTAATTGACACAGCCTGATAAAGTGCAGATCTAATCTCTTGTTCTGCGAGGGGTACCGCATCTTCACATGATTCATATTCTCTAATTATTGAATCGAAGCGTTCACAAAAATCACTTACTTTTTCGTCTTTTCTCATTTTAATTTGATAGAGTTTAGCTCGTACCGATGCATGAGTAACGTTTACTTCACTCTTTTTATATCCTCTCAATTTCTTCAAAATTTCTTTCGGATCTTTTTCATGTAGAATCCTTTTATGATAGTTTTCATCTAAATGATTGATTATTATATCTCTAACTAGACTTTTTCTCTTAGCAACTTTTAGTTCGGAGAGATATTCTGGACTTTCAATGTTTGAATCTATTACATCTAACAACTCGTTATTCATTAACTCAGATTTTAAATAATCCATCCAAAGATCAAAATTGGATTTTTGCGTCAGCTTATATTCTCTTCTAATATGCAACCTTTGACTGTTCAATTCCAATTCTATAGCTCTTTTCATTGTCTCTAAACTTCTATCTTTTTCGGCTGAACAGACTGTTATTTCATTTAATTTTCTCTTTTTAGACTCTACCTCTAGTTCTTTAACCGTTTGTTTCCTGTTTTCTACTGAACTTTGGGTATCTTTATTGCTTACCTCTAAACGTCTAAGTTTAACTTTTTCTTTCTCTAAGTTTAAACGGGAGACTTCCACCATATTCTCCATCATCTCGGTGGCCTTCGTCATTACTTTATCCAGCACCTGCATCGAATTGTCCATTTTTTCGACCAATTTTTCTTGCTTTTCATATAATATTTTGGTTCCAATTGGCAGTACTGGACGGTTCTCTTCCCATGCTTTGGTCACATCTATATTCTCTCTGACTTTAGGCAAGTTCTTTTTCGGGATTGCACCTCTTCTTTCCATCTCCTTTTTATCTTTTGCTTCTATACGGAATTTTGAAATTACTATTTTTATTTTCTCTGAATGCATATATATATTATTCTTCTGGACTACTTTATTTTCAAAAAAAAAAATACTCTCTTACCTATATCTTTTCTTACTGTCTCCTCGTTTTTATCTTTTGCTTCTCTATCTATTACCGTGATAAAGCTGCTATCGCTGTCGTAGTCGACCAGCGCATCTTGGCCTTCTTCTTCTTCCATCTATATCGGGATTTAAATATCAACTGAACATTAGCATTCCTCTTTTGACAAGATAAACCAACATTCGTATTGACAAATAATAATTTACAATTTCTATCACTAGATCTCTTTCAGCGATAAAAATTTAATGCTTATGAGGCTATATAGAACGCACTGCAATTCACAATAACCCCAAAGCGAGAAAACCACGCGCCTCTGCAGGGCTATCCGCACGCGCACACCACTGTCCGTTGCGATCCCCAGCACTGCTGAAAAGATCTATGGGAGCTCGGGTTGATCACGCACACGCACGGGGCCCATACAAATTTACGCGGCTTCCCTAAACAGTAATCAAGCTACACCGCACAACAAGTCATGCTCAATTACCGACCCGATACATATCGATTTCAAAAAAAATAAACTCATATAGAGTCATATAGAGTTTTTATACATACGCATACATTTACATGTATCGCAATCTAGCCATCTAGCATACGCATACATTTACATGTATCGTAATCTAGCCATCTAGCATCGATGCCATGTTGTTAGTCGAAATCGATTATGTGTTTGTGCGTGCCCAGCAACAAGTTCTGCGCGCCAAAAACAATGACTCTCGCCGTCTACGATCGGACTTCCGCGCGCCAAAAATTCCGCGCGCCAAAAAAAATGACTCTCGCCGTTCACGATCGGACTTGCACGCGCACGTCGCCGACTTGCTACCAAGCGGCATTTTTCTATCTCTTTTTCCTTCATCATTCTCTACTTCTTTATTACACTTTACACATCTATTCTCTAATTCTCTTATTACCATTATTACCTCTATTTCTATTTCTCGAGAAAAATGGCAAAAACATCTATCTCCTTGTAACAGTATTTATCGAACGAACATTCTTATTAACTGAGAATTCTCTCGTTTTGCTCGTCAGCAACGAGGAATATTATTTACTTACCCTCTAATCTTCTAGATGCTTCTATCTCTTTCTATGCCCTTCGCCGGCGTCTCACACACTTCGTATATACACTTTCGTGCTATGTTCCTCACGCAGGGGAATCGTGCCCTGGGCCCATAACCTATTGGAAATATAATCAGGGACGACTTGAAATGTGGTGAGATGGGCAGGGAACACAACAATGTTGATCTTTATACACTTTAAATACTGTCTTTATTATATATAAGTATATCACACTCTGTAACTTAAA